GATTGTTTGTTATGCAAAAACCTGGCTAATACTGTGGGATTCATCACTCATTAGTTATTGTAATATTTGTGCAGCTGTCCTATGCTAGAAATATAGAAACTGGAAATCTTGTTAGGTTTAGAAGAGATATGGTTACCCTAGGTTACCTGTAAATGTAATATATTTATATTGCTTTAAGAGTGTACTCATAACTTTGAGAAAAGTTGATTTATCTTTTTCACAGAAGCTATCCTAGTGCCTTGAATCACATATTGGACCTCTCATCCAATATCATGACAGCCACTTGGTTGCTGTTCAGATGAATGCACAGAACTTCTGTGCTTCTCCCATCCACTAATGCTCTTGTCTGATGCATGATGGGATAAGTGATTGTATGCATTTATGTATGTGATGTCTAAGTCTTGAAGTGCGTACATATTTTTACTTGTAAAAGGAGAAACCTTTTGTAGATATAAAATTTTACTGTAGTAAATCTCAAGCTAATCAAATTTGGTGCTATTTACCATGAGTGTTTTGAATCCGTTATGTTAGAGATGATGTATACTTCTCTTTCTTTCCTTTTTTTTTTGTTTCTTTGCAATAGGGCATGTGCACCTGCCAGAGAGAGAGACAGAGAAACAGTGAGAAGTCATCCCCTGGGGGGGATGGCTATGCCTGAATCCCTTCTCTGCCATTCCCCTCTCCGGATTTTGGGCATACACGCATACATGCCTGGTGTGAGTTCCAAGCCTCTGGGTCTAGGACTCAAACTGAAGTTGGCCATGTGGGATTTCAGCACCTTAACCACCACAGCACCTGATGACAGTGGCATTTGAGCTGTGGGGAGCAGTCCCGTCATCAGACAATGTTAAGCAGTGTTCCTGGCATCTACTCACAGGAAGCCAGTAGAGCCTCCCCTTAAATTTAATCACATTCACCTGACCGGTGCAGTCACGATGGTCAAAATGTCCTGAGACTTTTCCGAATGTTCTCTGGAAAGCAAAATCCCTCATTACGGAACCACTGTCTTAAAAGGGAAACTTTAATATGATGATTTTCATATCTGGCTACACATTATAATAACCTAGGTAAGCTTTGTAAATTTCAAAATAATTTCCAAATTAATTTTAAAAATGTGAGTAATAGTACAAAGAATACATGTACTGTTTGTTAATGTCTTCCAGATGTCCCTTTCATTTTTCTCTACTCATATGCATAATACTTTGTTTCTTAGTCATGTGGGAGTAAGTTGAAAATAGGATGCCTCCTTACTCCTTAATAGTCAGGGTGTAGTTCCTAGAAAAAGGATATTTTCTTACATAATCCCAGTATGACTAACCAAACAAGAAATTTAAGATTAATACAGTATTATTATATAAGCCATTGTTCATATTTGAGTTTTGTCAGTTATTCTAAAAATGTTCTTTGTGACTAATTTTTCATAGTTTAAGATCCAAAGGACATGATGTATTTTGTCATTATATCTCTTTCATCTTCTCTAATCTAGAACCCTTCCTCAGTCTCTTGTAGTTTTTTAAAAATTTCAATATTTTTCAAGTGTACAGGCTAATTATTTTGTAAAATGGCTTTCAATTTTGATTTGTCTGATATTTTCTCATGATTAGATTAGAGTTGCACAATTTCATCGGAACTATGACTAAGCAATGCTGTAAACTTCTCGATGTACTTCTTCAGGAGCCACTTGAAAGTTAATTCCTCTGCTGATCCTTTGGTTTGAGTGCTGTGTTAATTTCCTAGGACTGACACAATAAATTACCACAAACTAGGTGGCTTAAAACAAAAGGATTTTTTCTTCTCTCACTGTCTGGAGATTAAAAATCCCAAATCAAGGTGCCTCCGGAGTGGTACTCACTCTAGAGGATCTGGGTGAGAGTCTTTCTGTGGGCCTTCTGGCTTCTGGTGGATGTTAGCAGTCCTTGTGGCTGTATGGTTCCAACCTCTGCCTCCATCTTCACAAAGCTGTCCCCCTCATCTCTCTGTCCATGTCACCTCTGTGTCTCTTAAGAGGACATTTGTCATTATATTTAGAGTCCACTGAAGCATTCCAAGATGATTTTTATCCCAAGGTCCTTAGTTTAATTACATCTGCAAACATTTTTTTCTACATAAGGTCACATTTACATTTCTTGGTGATTAAGACTTGGACATACCTCTTGAGGGTCACCATTCAATCTTGTACAGGTGGTGTCTGCCAGAATTTTTCACTGTAAAGTTACTATTTTCCTTTTGTCATTAAAAAGGAATTTGTGGGGAAATACTTTGAGACTATGTAAAATTTTTATTCCTCATCGAACTCTCACCCATTGTTTTAGCATTTCTTGGCAATTCTTGCCCAACTTGCTATTTTCCAATTCCATCATTTCCTTCTACATTGACATTCTGTTGTAAATGCTTTTCTTCCTCCCTCCCTTCCTTTCTCTCTTCTCTTTATCCCCTTTTTCCTTTCCTTCCTTATTAATTGTTGATTCTTACTTATTCACTGGGATATAATCTATTGTTTTGATTTGATTTTGATGCTCAAGTTTTCCTCTTGGTAGCCTGTGGGAGTAACTTCAAACAGGTTACTACATCCTTTGACATATTCCCATCATTCTTTGGGATTTTTTTTTTACTTTCTGGTACAATAAAATGTCCTAAATTCATATATTTTTCCCATCCCAGTCTTAGAGTCAACCATCTCACCAAGAAGTCCTAGTTTCTTTTCTTTTCTTTCCTTTTTTTTTCCCTAAAGGGCACAGAGAAAGATAGAGAAAGGGAGAGGAGAAAGCACCCCCCTATAGAGAATGGTCATGCTGCAGTCCCCTTTTCCTCCATTTCTCTCACCTTTTGGTGTGGGAAGCTGCACACCAGCGAGTCTGCCTAGGTTTCTCAGAGAGCAAACAATTACCATGATTGGTTCCCTTCCAAAAACCTGACTTTTGAAACCTTGCTCTGATTGGCCACTAGAATCCCTCAAATTTGCATATCTGGCACCTCATGATTGATCCAAAAGCAACCAATCATAACCCGCCGTTAAAAACCAATCAGGGCCCACCATTTACAACCAATCACGGTCCACCATTTACAACCAATCACGGCCCACCGTTTACAACCCACCAGAGTGTATATAACCACGATGCCTGGCCCACAGTAGCCAGACCACGAAGATGACCAAGACAACGCAGACGACCGAGAAGACGACAACGACCAAGATGACGACAACGACCAAGACAACGACAACGACGACGATGACGACCAGGAAGACGACAACTGAAGAGCCTGAAGAGCTGAAACACCGCGCAGTCTCCAGACGACCCTGAAGATCCTGAAGAGCTGACACTACATCGTCTCCAGACGACTTGGGAGACCCTGAAGAGCTATAACACTACATCGTCTCTGGACGACCCTGAAGAGTTGTGACACCGCGTCGTCTCTGTGCTGCCCACAGTAGATGACGCGACACTGCGTCGTCTCTGTGCTGTACCGTTCTGCCCACAATAAACGGACGACACTGTCGTCTCCGTGCTGTAACACTACGCCGCTTGTCCCAGCTCTCACTCCTTCACTCAGGAAACCTGTTCGGCTGTCCCCCCGGGTCAGGACATTTTGGGATTCTGGATAAGCATGCATGTGCACCCAGACTGTCTCCCAAACTGCCTGGGTCTGGAACTTTAATAGTGCAGTCGGCCATGTTGGATCCAGCTGCCCTAACAACCATGCCATAGAGCTGGCCTGAGTCCTGGTTTCTTTTAGTGGGAAATGAAACCAAGTTATGAATACACAATAAGATTTTTATATAAAACTTTTTGAGTCCCACTTTGAGAGATTGTAATTCATAAATCCTGGGTTAGGGCCTGTGTGTGCATGTGCATGTGCATGTTTGTGCCTGTAAAGTTCTAAGTAGTTCTACTGTGAAAACAGTGTATGGGAACTACTCTCTAATGTATTCAAACCATGATTTAACTTACACTAATTTTTCAGGAGCATATTTTTCATCTACTGGGACAAACAACTGTCTCATATCTTAATTACTGTCTCATATCTTAATTACCAGATAAGTAAGCAAGATAGAACCTTCTGTAGCTAAAAAGAACTTACTAGATATCAGATGTCATTGACAGATATCTAAGATAGGAAATGTACCTTACGATGTAAAATCATTATTGCTAACAAAATCAAGTCAAATTATATTCAAGTCTAGATATAATTATAATTTAAATTAAAAAAGAAAGTGAAATTTTTACTTTTAAATTACATTCCTCTGACTGTAATCTCTTTCTGTTGCTCTCTCTCTCACACTAAAGAATACATCACCTTGTAGGAAGGAATGCAGGCAACACAAAGGTTTTTCACAATGGAATAGAAAAATAATCTATTTCAATATCCGCTGCTTGACTATCTTCAATAATAGATAATTCAGAGAAGGAACAAAATTACTTTAGTGAAGGCAACTGCACTGTTGAATAGCTATATCACATTTTCGTATTGAGTGTGAAAATATATTTTTCCTATATGAAATTTGGGTTAATCTTTTTTATTTCTTAAAAAAAAAAAGAGCATTCCAAAGAACTAAGATTTATATCTTGAGAAAGAATTTCTTGTTCTATCTACAGATGTTCAGCATATTTATTGAAACTTGGGATCTGTAACTTTGCTTTTGTAAAAAGGAATAATATGCTTCCTTTTTCAGATATCAGCATTAAGTTAAATTAGAATAAATTTCTCCAAGAAAGTAAGAATAATAATTCTTAGCATTAAAATGAATACTTTTATGTTTTCATATGTACCAGGAATTTTACATATTATCTTTGTTTTACCAATAAAGAATCTAAAGTTTAGAGAAATAAAGCAATCCTTTCAATATTTCTTAAGCTAGAAACTGACCAAGCAGTACTTCAGCCCAGTTGGGACATGCTAGGTTACAACACAGTAACAAACAGCCCCCACATCTCAGCAGCTAATAATAACAAAGGTATAGTTCATGCTACGGGTACATCATGGATGGGCTATGACTCTAGTCAGTTCCATCTTCATTTTTGAACCCAGGCTGATGATGAAGCCTCTGTTTGGAGTTATAGTGGAGAGGATGAAGAGCATAGCAAACTGCACACTGTCTCTGAATGCTTGTACCTGAGAAAAGAAAAAAAAAATTGCTTCAGTGAGAAGCCAGCAATCCTATGGAACACGTGAATCACATCTTGAAATTGAACATTGGCATTTTGTATTTCAATAGCTAGAGGAAGTTACGGCCAAACTTGATGTCATTGAGGTGGGGAAGTAGACACCTGCACAGGTAGAGACAGCCAAATATAGGTAGACAGAAACAGATAGATATGTGGATGGCATAATGTAACCTAAAGCCAGTGCAGCAGTCCCCTGGCCTCAGCGATTGGTCTGCATTGGTCCAATCAGAGGGAAGCAAAGGTGTTTTATGACTGGAGGAAGAGTTGACCTTACTCTTTCTCTATCCACTATGGAGCTACCACAGCGATTTTTCTACCACAAAGAAAGAAATGTAACAAAAGCTGACACATACAGAAAAGCAAAATCAAGAGGAAGTGAGCCCCAGCATGGAGACCCTATGAACCTTTGGACAGCTCACTCTGATGGTGGTCCAGCCTCTGAACTTTCCAGTGATAAATTCCAATAAATTCTCTTAGGCATAACCCAGTTTGTGTAAGGTATTTTTTTTTTTTAGAGGTTTTTGCTATAGGGCACGTGCGCTCGCCAGACAGACAGAGAGAAACAGAAAGACAGAAAGCGAGAAATCACCTCCGAGGGGGGATGGCCACACCGCAATCTCTTCTCCTCCATTGTCCTCTCGGGATCTTGGGCACACGCATAAGTGCCTGGCGTGAGTTTTAAGCAACTGGGTCTGGGATGCAAACCGCGGTTGACTACGTGGGAGTCCAGTGACATAGCCATTACGCTAACTGCTGGTCCCTTGTGTAAGGCATTTAATTACTTCTATTTTTAATAGATAATATTAAAATCTAAGGCCTACCTGTCAGTATCTGCCGACAAGCTTAAGAGTTACATCTCTCTCGATGGTAATATTGTCAGTGTCCCCTTGGGGTTTGGTGCTGTGAAAGAAGAAAGTTAGAGAAAGGAAGGAAAGAAAGACACAGAAGCAGAGATGCAGGTGAACACAGATAAGCTGAGCTGTTCAGTCATGATGAGCTTCTTTATTTATACATTTTACCAGGCACAGTGAACTGTTTGCAAGCTTCCAAGGATGTGATTGAAGTTCTACAGTTAGAGATAAGCGCTTTAGTGTATACATTTTTTGACCTTGTTACTATCATATAAACATGTAAGCCATAAACATTATATAGAACAGGCATCGCATGACCTAGCCAGGGTCAGGATGTTTCCTGTGTCCTGCAGATCAGATCAGATCTGCAGATCCCCTGGCATTAAGGTATGTGTCAGCCTATTTTAGTGAATAATTAGTGAGGTGTACTGTTAACTGCCTTCCGTATCTAGGTTGCATACCCTCACACCTACCAAAATTTTAAGCTCTCTTGGAAGAGGTATATCTGTGCATATGTATAATACATTTATATATATATATAGTATAGATAAACATTTCCTAATTTTAGACATTTATATTGCTTCCATTTTTTTACATCACAGATCATAGTGCCATACATGTACAGATACATGTGCATGGAGAAAAACAGAAAGGCACACACAAACTGATATTGATGATCTTGGTGTTTAGGCTTCTGTGCCCTCTGGACTGTAGATGATGAAACTCACAGAATTAGAAGTGATTAGATTTTTCCTACTTTATGTCACTGTTTTAGATACCCAGGTATGCAACTCTGGGTTATTTATTGTAGTAGGTTAAAAAAATAGTATACACATCTTGAAATTTTTGATATAAGAGTTCTGATTTGGAATAAGATTTGGAATAATTGAATAAAAGGGAGATTAAAACTTCTGGGTGGCAGCTTTCGGATGGAGGGGTGGCAAACATATTGGTAATAAGTCAGAAGGAGAAGCTATTAAGACAAATCAATAAAGAACAGGGGTCAGTTGGTGGTACAGCAATAAAATGAGGCATTCTGCAAGACTAACCTGCACGGGAGGGTCCCAGGTTCACACCCTGGTAAGCCAGATGCAGTTGTGCCCATGCTCTGTGGTTGGCTGGGGCTAGAGGTGAATCATGGTGTCAAGACTGTTGCAGGGTTCTATCTCTCTTTCTTGATCATGGAGGAATAAATGGATAGACTTTTAAAATTATATAGGTAAGAATGATCTTTTTGTCCTGGAATTTTTCACTGGCATGAGCTGCTTATACAAATCAGTTTGGCTGTTGCCCTCAGAGGACATTGTGCTGACGTAGTGAGGTTCTTTACTGTCCTCTGAGAGTCTGTTTACTGTTCTGCATAGGCTCTGCTGACCTGGCCTGCTCCCTAGCCTCCTGTGGCTATCTAATTCTGGTCCAGCATGCCCCAGTAACTAACTCCACAGCTTGAGCACTTTCCAGTAAACTCAAGATAACAACCCCTCGCTAGCTTGAAACTGTTTAGATTTATATCTGTTATAAATAATTAAAGGGAGCTGATGTGGTTATTCAAGAGTAGTGTGGAGGCAGTTCTCCAAATCTATTTGTCTTCCTTAATCACATTAGGAACTGGAAGCCCAGTGAACCTTGATTTGTCTCGAGGTACAGGGCTACAGCTGAAGATCTTGATACGTATTTCTTAGTCCAGGTCCCAAACACAATTTCTTGACAACTATATTAGCAAAGCATTTAATTTTTGCTCAGAGAAGCATTAAAAGCAGAGCCAGAGAGTTTATTTAGTGGCTCTGATTTCCTAAGTTAGGGAATTGTTCCTTGGCAGGATAAGGGCTGGCTCTGGACAAAGCAGTTATATGTAGTGGAGTCATAAGGGTGTGTATTAGTAACTTCTGAGCAAAGAACACAAATGGGCCTAGACCTTCAAAATAAACCTAGTAAGAAACTGTCTTTTGCTATAAAAGTTGGGTAAGCAGAGGCTCACAAGGAGAAGCTATGACATGTCCTCATAGACAGTGGGAGTATAGATTGATCTGGAAGCGAGAAGATCTGCTCCTAGGAAGTGGGGATAAAGATTGAGAATTCCCAACAAAAATTAACCCCTGTAAAACAATCAGACACAATGCGATTTCTCCTTGTAACCTTTATATCATTGCTACATAGATGAGCAACTGATGAAACCGCTTTGACTGAAATGACTAATGACTTAGCATTTATCTTTGGCTAAATTTCCTTAAAAGAATACAGAGAGGGAGAACCAGCAGTTAGCGTAATGGCTATGTTGCTGGACTCCCACGTAGTCAACCGCAGTTCACGTCCCGGACCTGGAGGCTTAAAACTCACGCGGGGTGTGTGTGCGTGCGTGCCCAAGATCCCGAGAGGATAGTGGAGGAGAAGGGATTGCAGCGTGGCCATCTCCCCTGGGGGAGGGGGTGATTTCTTGCTTTCTATTTCTCTGTCTCTCTCTGTCTTTCTGGCAAGCGCACGCACCCTATAGTGAAAACCTCTCTCTCGAAAAGAAAAAAATAAAAAGAATACAGAGAAATGATGACTTATTTTTATGGCAAATTTTAAATGTTTTAATTTTTAACCAGTGGTTTTACATTGTTATATACTGCCTAGAGTTCTCTTTTATAGTACTTCTTTTCCAAAAATCTCAAGCATAAAACCAAGAATATTTACCTTCCATAATGCAAACATGAGGTTATGCCAGACCTGTTACAGAATTTCACATGGATACTTTATCCTCAATATTCAGTGTAGACCAACATGTTCTTTTTCTTTTCCAAATAATGGCAAACCTTCAAAGCAGGACTGTATAATTTGTTTAGAAAGGCTTGGCTCCTCAGATCCCCACAATGGAAGCTCTCCAAGGGCAGGACCATATTTGTAGTGTCCAGTGGCTTCTCTTCTAGATTAATAAATCCAGTGCTGAGTCAATGGAAAATAAGTGCTAACGAACTTCTTGTGTCCTTATAGCTATTTTTGCTAAAAAATAGAAAATGATTAAAAAAAAAGGTTTAGGTGAAAGTTTACTAAGTTGATAAATTCATAGGACAAGGGAACTCGAAAGATAGTCTTATGTAGTGAAATATGTGCTCGGCACATAAGCAAGGTACATGCTATTTAAAAAGAGAGAAGCAAAAAGTCTGCAGCATGTTTTCTCTCCTCAGAATTCCCCAACTCTAGTGTATTATTTCAGAATTTCTTCAGGGTTTTCCCCGGCACTTTCCAATTCCCCTTTGAGGACCATCACTGAAGGGAGAGTAGGGCACTTCTGCTTTCTGAAATAGTCCTGGTACCTCTTGGAGATGAAATTCTCTGACCTTCGGTTCCCCTTTGGTAATAGTCCCATGCACAAGTCTGACAGGCTGTTTATTGCTTTTGGCAGCAGGACGAAGTCTGTGCACAGGAATGGCTGATGAGGGGACCTGCAGAAGGATTCAGGAATGAGAGTAGCCTGGCCTGGCTGGGAAAGGGCAGTGAAGGGAACTAGCGTCATGGATGCTTGCCAACCAGGATGGCAACTCAAAGAGCCATAGATAACCCACCAGCAATGCCACTCGCATTCCTCTCCCCAGGTTTCCTTCAGGTCCTCAACCCCATTGCTTGCCCAACAAACATTCTGTGAAGACAACGAGGAGACTTCAAGAATCAGCTTGGTCCAGGGAGAAAAGCAGTCCCATCAGGTCGCCATTACTCAAGGAGCTCAGCCTGAGACCTGCAGTTTTGGTTCAGAATGAAAATTTTACTTTAAGATGGACATACACCTGACGTCTTTATTTTAATCAGTCTCCTGACAATAACCACAATTGCTTTAATTTAATTTATGTTATAAAGATTAACTGATGCTTTTAAAGTATAGAATTCAGATCACAATGATTTTAACTTGAACAGAATGAAAGTCTCTTAAATAACAGTCACACATTCCTGCATCAACACCCGGGTAAATACCACACAAACAGGAATTTCTTTTCTTTTTTTCTCTGCTGAAACTAAAAAAACCCTAAACAAGAGAATGGGTTCAACCCTGCTATGCAATTCTAGTTACTGATTGTGAAACAATGCTCATATAAATACTGTAAGAGTTAGTAATTCCTTGCAACATCTGATTCATAAGGAAAAAGTACTCTCTGGCTATTTTAAGCAGTTAGGTACTTGTCTTCTGAGTGAGCCTCCTGGTAGGGTGACTGATTTTACCCAGAAGTAAGGTAGTGTCTGAAATCAGAGGTGCTTTTCCTTCTCCCTCATTGGGGACTCTTCCCTGGACTCTTAGAATTAAGCTTTGTGACATAAACACCTACCATGGGAAATTTCATTTAGTGAGTGATAACTCTGTGGCAGTTGTAAAATTTCTGAAGTACCAGATGTAATAGCTGGATACTATGACTTAGCACCAGCATAGTGTCAGGCTCTGAGAACATGCCTGAGTACCAGAAAATCATGTGAAAACAAACAAGAAAGTGAACCTTAAGTTGGTGTAAATATACCCAAGAATTTCAGACTGAGAAAACTGAAGTCAGAAATTTAAGACTCATGGGATGAGCAGATGGTATAATGGCTACATTGATGGACTCCCATATAGTCAATTGTGGTTTGAGTCCCAGACACAGTGGCTTAAACTCATGCAGGGCACGTGTGCATGAGTGCCCAATATCCCTAGAGGAGAATGGAGGAGAAGGGATTGTGGCGTGGCCATCCCCCCCCCCCCCCCCCGCGGGGGGGTGTTGCTTTGT